TGTAGTACTAGTACAGTAACTGCTGCTGTTGCAATGTTTACATTTATTTTTGTTATACAATATTGTAATGGTTTTCCAAACAAAGTAGGATGAGAATTTGAACAGTGTCATTAGGAAAGCCTTCTCCTGTATTTTAATGAGCGCTTCACACTTTATCCACTAATTGCATCAGCTAGCATGGAGAGAACAGCTAAGTTTTGAGTGAAGATTGGACTTGGTGAATGGCTTTTTGAGAAAATCACAAGCTTGTGAAGAATTTCAATTTAGCTTCTCTGTTGTATTTCTTTCCCAAAGTACAGCACCTCCTACAGCACTATGTCCCTGATCACCACACCGCGGTGTGGAAATTCTGGTCCAGAGGGAGTTCTGCCACCTGTAAAACAGAACATGCATCATCACTGGAAGAGTTATTCTTTGGTACACCAGCACCCCTTAGAAAGCAACTTGTTTTCAAACCCCAGCCCATACCAGGTCCAGACTTGCTTAGCTCCTCAGATTTTACTGCTAGTTCAAGCTATAAAATGGGAATTCAGCAGTCTGTCTAGTCTAGAGACAATAGTTGTATTACTATTGGTTGTTCAAAAAGTCAAATTATGAATATTATCAATTATTATTTAACTTATAACAATTACCACGTTAATATTGTCACAAATCATAGAAATGTTGTTATAATATTTACAATTCCTCGCTTCTAAAATGAGTAGTATGTTAAAGAGAATTTGTCAAAAGATCCGAATCTCTTTGTGGTGAATCATATCAAATCCAAATTGTGGCATTAGGACCCAGAAGATCCCTTTCGCTCCCTCCCACTGCGTTACTTTGGTTGATTGCAGCTTGTCCCCTGCTGTAGTTCTGAGCTGGGAGGTTGCCACAAAAAGGATGTGAGAAAGAGGAGGCGAGCGTTTTCTGCAGTAGGCATGCGTCTCTGTTAGGCTGCAGTTTGTATTTGTGAAGTTATGCATCTGCAATTAAATGCAGTGAACAAAATAATTTAACATTTTTTTGTTTTTTTTGTTTTTGTTTATTTTCGCGGTTTATTGTTTTTTTTTTTAACGTGAATAATACCACAGGCAACTGCTGGGATTAGATTGATTGCTTTGAGTCTTCATCTGCGGTTGACCGAAAAAACAACAGCTATAAATCTGGACAGAGCCTTGCCTTAATTTTCTGGTTATTAATATTGTTGTTGTTAAGACAGCGTATTACAGCCTTATGCTTTAGTTTTAAAGATTTTGATGAATTAGTGGTTACATTTAATAAATTGTAACCCACTCATAATCTCTCGTGTTGTTGCAGTATTGGTTTGGACAGGGGAAACTGGTCTAGGTGTATTTTCAGATGTACAATATTAAAGGGGACTATGAAAAGACTGCATTCAGCTATCTGCAGTAACGGATATTGACTAGCGGCATAATATACTCCAGCAACATCAGTGGAAGATCTATGAGTAGTAAGTCTACCGTTATTAAAATAGATTGACGGGGCATTGTTTTGTCGCCTGCTTCGTCCGAGGAGGCATCTGCAATAGAGTTTTCACGAAATAGATCAGATCATTGATATTAGGTCTTGTTATTCAGTCCTATAACCACATTTAATTCACGTAAACTACAAGAATGTCCCTAACCAGAAGTATCGAACTGGAGCACTTCGAGGAACGAGACAAGGCGCACCGGTCTTCTCGAGGGACTGGCTCGGGATCCCAGACTGGGTCCAAAGGAAACGGTCTCATTCCTAGTCCAGCACACAGCGCCCACTGTAGCTTCTACCGTACCCGCACTCTACAGGCTCTCAGTTCGGAGAAGAAAGCCAAAAAAGTTCGCTTTTACCGAAATGGAGATAAATATTTCAAAGGTCTGGTTTATGCGGTGTCAAATGACCGGTTCAGATCTTTTGACGCTTTGCTTATGGAACTAACGAGGTCCCTTTCGGACAATGTGAACCTGCCTCAGGGAGTCAGGACCATATACACGGTGGATGGGTCCAGAAAGATCACGAGCCTGGAAGAGCTAGCAGAAGGTAAGAGCATTAAGACATTTGTTTTATTAAAATGTATTTTCGGTCTTTACTATCGCACTATTCTGTCAGTTAAGATAAATAAATTACACGCTGCGTATGCCGTTGTTCAAACACCGTGGAGTGAAAAATAATGGACCGCATAATAGCACTACTGTATTTGTCCAGACTGGTATTGTGTGGACCTAGAATTGTAGATTTAACCCATTTAAGGGATATGGTTCGAAGAGTAAAGTGACTGTGATGATCTGCATCACTAACAGAGTAAAAGAACCTACAGGTTATCTTTTCCAGTTATGATGACAAATTAGGATGTCTGTTGCATTTCAAAATTATATACATTTTATAAGCTTATGTACTGTAAGTGTAAAGTGTTCTAACCTTGTTTTAATTGGGGTTATATTATTTGGACAGTTGATCACATTAATTGCTTTACCTTGTCAGCATTCGTGGGAGCAATGCAAACATTGGTTCTTGACATTAAAATAATATTTTTACATGATGGTTTTTGATTAGCAGAAAGGTACTGTAGGTTGGTTTTGATTTAATAGAATTGTAGGTTATGTGTTTCATTATTGTATTTTTGTATGCAAAATACAATATTTTGTATACAATTTTGATCTTGGAATTGCAATTTTGATCTTGATATTTTAGCTTGGGTATTTGTTGATGACTGTACAGCTTTTCATTTAAGCTATTTTTCTTTTTCATTCACACCTGACTAGCAACATAGGCCTTCCCATTAAAGTTAATTTTCAAGATCAGCACGTGATTAGGAGAGGCTATTTTTGAGTTTTTTTGATTTTGTGGAACAGAGAGTTGTTTTTCTGCTTGTGACCCTCAGGTGTTGATATTCTGTTGATATTGAACAAATTCGCTAGTTTTGACATACAGTAGCAATGCAAGTGGAATGGATCTGAAATGTAATATTTCCCTTCCACCTACATTTTATCTGGGGTTTATTCACTATACTAATAAGGCTTTCCTATAGTATAGCGTTTTTATTTTCTATAAATTACTTTAGGTAATGAAATTTACTACTACATATTTGTTACAATTGTTACATTAAATTACCAGTTGTATTTTATGTCACCTATCCTAAATCCTACAGTGTACATAAGGTTGCTTACGAGCAGGTTATAGTAACAGGATGAAAAGCATAGGTATTATGTTCCTAATATCTTTAGTTCAATCACCTGTACCATAACCATTTCAGTTTTAATTTACAAACATAGTCTCTCTTTTTTATCTTTGCATTATGTTTGTCGAGTGTGGCTTTGGAATTTTGTGTTATGACCCCAAGTGTCTATGGGTAAAGGGGTGTAAAATTTAGTATGATTTGGATGCAGGTGGGTTTCTGGTGAGGGTCTTGGGAAGCGTGACAAGTTTTGGTGTAAAAGTGATTTCTTTTAAAGTGAATAAGTGACTGGTACGTAAATAGGACACAATAACACACAGGGAGAGGGAACTAGATTAGTGCCAAAAAAAAGAAAACAACAAACAAAATGGAGCTGGCTATTGAAGTGAGGGAAAGCTGAACTAACTACAAAAACAAAACCCGAAACACTCGGTCTTCTGCATCTTCTAACGCCTTAGCTAACCTTCACTAACCACCCAAAAACCATACAAGACAAAAGGCACTCACCTGTCTTAAACTAGTGTACTAATACAAAGATCCACTACAGTAAGTGTACAGAATGTACCCGACAACCTGAACTAACTCTAAACACAAAAGTTCACACAAATACACAAGTGAACTACAAATACAAATAAGGGAGAAGGAGAGTAGACTCAAGGAATAGGGTACAAAAGAACACAGAGATTGATATAACATGTTTGGGCAAGGTACTGGCAAAATACAGGATAACACAAACAAATGAAAGTACAAGGAGATGAAAACAAACCAACGAAGCTAAAGCTATATGAAAACACACACACGAAGCGAACCTAAATGAACGAAAAGGAGAAAAACGAAGCCGTAGCAAAGCGAAAGAAAGCTGAGCCAAGCAGAACCAAAGTCAAGCAAAAGAGCCCTTCATTCTGATAATCTCCAAGTTATATACTGAATAAGCTGAGTTCTGATTGGTCGAGAGTTAATTGAAGATGACGTAATATGGAAACAATGGTGTAATGATGGACCAATGGGGGAGGGAGAACAATCAAAGTCAGGAAGTGTGGAACATAGCAACAAAAACACACATGGACCACACACTGGGACGTAACAATTTGCGACAAAAGAGTTTGCTCATGTAATTACAGCAGAATTTGACTTGACAGACCTAATTCTTAAATGTACGGCATGCATCAAAAGCACAGGAGGTTTCAAACGATAATAAAAACAGACATAATACCCAGTCACTTTCCACTCTGAGATGGTATACAGTAAGATGGGTGCTGATGATGCATCATACTGTATGTTGTTTTAAAACATTCTAAAAACGTCTATGAGCCACTATTAATTCAGTTGTCTAAGAAATGTAGTAGTTTTTCAACTCCTATTTCAAACATTTAATGGGACTAGACTTACCATTTTCTATGGCGCGTAAGGTGAAGACAAAATTAAATACACAATTGTTCTGATAAAAGAAGAATGGCCACACATTCAAAACAAATGAATAGGCACAACAAACAAAAACTAATTGGAGTCTTAAAGACTCATAAAGACTTTTCTGTGTTATCTCTTTGAATATGTAATATTGTGACTTTTTTTGTAGAAGAAATTTGGCGTCAACAGTTGTGACCCAATCTGGAATCATACTTTTCAATAGAAAAGGGGTGAGCAAGCAATGCCTGATCGAGCTGAGATCTGTAAGAGTTTCTTTGTTCATATTTTTCATTCACTAACTTTGAATAACAAAGGGAAACATCAAACACTGTAATATGCTTTTTAATTATTTGACTATGTGGTTATGTTTATATTTATATATTTAAAATAAAAAGTAGCCTTGGTTAATTATTTTGTTAGACATGCATACATAATATGTAGTATGTACAGTATTCTGAAGTTGGGGCTATTGGCGATTTTGATTTTAGTGATTTAGTGATAGAGTTAGTAATCTGATCAGCATCATGTGTTACCAAAACACCTTCAAAAATAAAGAGCCTGCGATACCCAGGTTTTATCCTTGTGATTTTCAGTCAGAATCCATTCGATTGTTTTTACAATTACATTCAATTGTAGCCATTATTTTGAAGTTTTACATTTTCAAATATATACAGTACAACAGAAGTTGTCCATGTTTGTTGCTTGGGCGTGATAATTTGATATGAAGGTATTAAGATATTTAGTGAATTCTGATTTCTTTCATTTTTGGGTGGCAGTTGTATTGCTTTTCTCCATTCTCTTCAGCACATTTAAAGTCTGCTCCTCTTCCTCTTATGAAGATTTTATTTCTTGTCGTGTCCAAAAAGTAATTTATGTTAATTTAAATCAGTGCTTTGCACACTTGATCTCAAAGAGGTAGCTCTGATTGCTAATTGCTAATATTTTAGATGGCAATGAGAAGACTGTAAAAAGGTAAGCTCAGAATAATTCCTACAGAAATATTTCTCAAAAAGAAGAAATATTTAATTTAGAAGATTAGAGATATTGCCTCTTTATCTGCACTTCAAAATTATATACTGTACAACAAGATAGGAGAAGGATGGAAATAAGAATCGGAGGCAGCTGCCTACTTGTTAAATATTTGGAGGGTGGGAGCAAGTTAGTAATAGTGCATTACGTGGTTTCTCAGGTTGCCAACAGAGTGTTGAAAATGTTGAGTGGGTGTTGTGAAAATGAAGATACCTTAGTATATGCAACCTTAATGAAGACCCTTTATTTCACACTCATAAATACATGCTTATCTTCCTTTATAAAGTTGGATATGCGAAATGTCAGTCTGTCAGCTGACAGTAAAAAGCTGTCATGATACTTGTGTATTCTGTAGGTTTTATATGGTTGTTGATTTAAAATGAAATGGTTAAAAGGGAGATACAGTGAGTTTTATTATATAGTACTGTGTTTCTAATGGGCAGGTGCTTTCATTACTGAAATTGAGGTCTGCAAAACTGCTTGTGAAGGGATTAAAAGGGTGTTTTTTAAAGCTCTTGGGTCCAGAAAGAAATGAAAATCCTGGAATTATTGCAATTGTAAATGATTTAAGGTGCTCAGTTTTGTAGAGTTTAATTTTAAGTTCTACATCTGAACAGAGAAAGGGTGGAGTGTTGTTTAATATCTTAAGTTCTCTCTGCATCAGAAGACATGTTCTAAGGATAGCTAAGAGTGAATCTCATTTACACAGCAAGAAAAAACGCACAATGATATAAAGTATTTTAATCATGTAGTAGATAATGTAATGGTTTTCTAGAGTTGACGTAGCAATAAAGTCAGAGCATATCAGCCACCTTGAGTGCACTGTAATGAAGATGCTTTGTGAAACCTTTTAACAATAGCTTTCTGTCTGCAAAAGTTCTCCTTTGCTGTTCTAGAAACAGGAAATAGCAGGGGTATTTCTACAAAAAGGGGAAGTCTAGAACGAGGAAAGCAAGGAATGAACTGCTGTTAAACCACAAAAATTGTTTTGTTTATCCTGGGTATAACATTTGTTTGTAAAACGAAGCCATGATGAGAGCTCAGACACTTGCTCATCAGAAGGGGGAAGCTATGGCAATTTGCACGTATGAGTTGGGGTATGTATTGCTACTATTTTAGAAAGGCTTATAGAAATGGCTTCTAATTATGGCAGAGATAGAAGTTTGTTTTTTTAAAAAAAACTCACTGTAATACTGTACTTCATTTCAGTTAGTCTTCTGGTTTTTTTTTTCAAACTTAGAGTTTTGTACGGTAGGCCTACAGTATGCTTTTACAAGTATACAAAAGAATAATGAAAATTAAATTAATGAGTCTAAATGAGAAGCTCCAAAAGTTTTAAAAAAGTTAAAACCCTTTTGCTTATCCATCTATTCATCTTTAGAATTAACCTGGTATATTTATGATGGATTATGAGACCTCTGATCTGCAA